ATATATATATACATATACATATATACATACATATATATATATACATATATATATATGTATATATGTATATATATGTATATATATATATATATATATACGCCGATTCTTAAATTCTTAAATAGTTGGAAGAATTAGGGATCGGATAAGAAACAAACTTCTTAAAAATAATAAATTGGCACAACAAATGCCAAACAATAAAGAGATGAATAATTGTGACTGAAATTTTATGAGAAATGTTTGAAAAAAATCTATTATTTTAGGTTTTGCGGGGAAGACATCCCACCAGGTACCGTAGCAACATCTCCCGGCAAAGAAATCATTATCATCATTGATACTAAAAAAGAAGCTCAAGCTGGAAGGGGACTTAAAGCCAAAATATCATTTATTGATCCAGATTCACAGCAGAATTCTACACGGACTATATCATCATTTTTACCCATAAACTAATCAAATAAAGCATTTTCATCAAACTAATTATGACTGTTATTTTTAAACGTTTATCCAACTTTTAATATTTCACACCCCAAAAAAAAGTTGTCACTCTCACCTGATACAGAAACACAAAAAAATATCACAGTTTAGAAATTATTATAAAAAGTTTTAATACATAACACAGCTTTATTGCACAAGAAACTTTATTACACTTGTGATACAGAGACAGAAAAACACAAAATAAAGTCACAATTTAGTAATTATTGTATAAAGCTTTATAAGACAAATGGGCATAATGTACACTGTAAAAAATTCCTGGATCAAATTACGGTACAAAATATTTCTATTTTGGGTGCATCATCCGTAGAATCCCTTTTTACCAAGAAATATTTATTTTGTGATTATTGAGTAATTCAGTAATTTTACGATAATTATTACTGTAAAAATTACGGTATATCAGATGTTTTGTTCCCTTATATGTTCTGGTAAAAATGGATTTTGCGGTAAAAAGCTCTCTGTGTGCTAATTCGTTTAACCATAATTTAATTTGGAATTTCTTACAGTGGATGACTTACTAGCATAGCAGTAAGATAAATCTAGGAAATATTGCGCACAGAAATCTTGTTTCGATTCCAGATAATTGCACAAAAACACGACTGGAGTAAAGATTCCGGGTAATTATACACAAACACTACTGGAGTAAAGATTCCAGGTAATTGCACAAAAACACTACTGGAGTAAATACTCAAATGTCTAAGTTGTTAAAAATGAGCATCAAGTACAAAACATAGCTATTTTCTTCTATTTTTCTATGGCAAATGCTTGAATTTTTATAAATGTTACTCAGAAATAGCAATTGTATAAATATTTTAAAATTAAAAGATTCGTCAAAAAATATCAAATATTGATTAACAGTGCGAACCACCAATGATTCTTCCCGGAAACATTCAGGTTTAAATAAAAGACCGCGCAATCATTATCATTAAAATTAGCAGCTACTTTGAAAAAATAAGAGCATTGTCTTTATGCTAGATGAGAATAAATAGTGTTCAGCGCAGTATCCTCTGTGTATTCTTATCTAACATACAATGTGTATTCTCATGCGTCGTACCTACGTGTAATAAGTGTTCTACGCAGCTAAAAGAGAGGTTGATAAAAATAGGGTGACTATTTGAGAATCATTATTCCATTTCGGGAAAAAAAGTAATTTTTTCTGATTAATCTGTAATTAAATTTCTTTAATCAATAGGTTGACTCATTCACTCAGAACATTATAATATTTGAATAAAGAAATTATTGACCAGAAAAAAAAGAGAAGAGCTGCAAAACAAAATAAATTATGAGATCCCGAAAAGAATGCCAAATGACGTGGGTAAAAGGTAAAATAGCATTAGAGTACGCTTCAAAATAATAGTCCAAATAAGCAAAAAAAATATTGAAATTTACATAGCAATTTACAAAGCTGAAATTTTCAATGCAGACTGGGACCAATTTTTCGCCTCATGGCCCATCTTTACTGCTTAATAACAATCGGAATGATTCGTTTTTATAAGTCATTGATTGTCAATGTAAAGATTTTCCCCATCTTAAAAACCTTCTGACAATAATATTTTTTCAAGTTTCACAGCAATTTCTTCTTCAACATTCTAAGCTTAGTATTGAAACTTTTTCTGTAGTCCGGTTTTGTTAAACTTCCCGTGAAAAACAATTCTAAAATTATCGTAAATGATTCAACGCAGCATTATAAATTTGATTTTATATTTTTAATATTTTCAAATTATTATTGCTTCGTCTGAAAATAATTGTATTTTCTCGAAACTGAATTTTTGTGCCACCTTTATCAGAATTATGCATATTTAAATTCATCAGCATCGTTTACCTTCGATTAACATAGAGAATATGTAATAAATCATTTTAATTAACTCCAAAAATGTGCATAGCCCAAGTAAAATATTTTTAGTACTGATTAATCTGAAAAAAACTTGTGCAGAAAAATGAAATTAAAAATATCCAAATCAGTTTTATCACCGGATTAAAATAAAAGGTGGGGAAATGTAATTATTTGAAACATGTTTTATTTTTCTGACAACCCAGTTGGTTTTGATATTTCTCTTACCTTTCTCGATTATAATTCATCAGATTATGATAACGGTTTTTGTTTCGCGTAATTCTCAATTTTCGTTATTAATTCTCAAAACCTAAGGTTTATGACACCAAATATTGATGCATATGTCAAAGGCAATAATTGAAAAAAAATTGTGAAAGATTAACTATAATCTTTACGAATAGAAAAATATTTATTAAATCTCCCATTATTAGTCTGACAGCCTCATGAAAAGTTGAAAAACACTGATCTTATTAACTAAGATACTTTAAAAATCATTAAGCATTTTTGAGATGTATTTGTTAAATTATTAAATTATTTGTTATCAAATTTTCTTATTATTCCTTCACAAGACCAATTTAGAGAGTATGAAATGATCTATATACAAGCTGGTTCAAATTAGAGAATATAATTTTCTATTTTGAATACTGCTAAAGAATATAACGAATACCCTTATGCTATAAAATAATGCCCGTATGCTATAAAATAATGCCTACAAAACTTAGTTTTTCAAGAAAGTTTATGTAGTAGATTATTTATGTTATTTCATGTTCTTTGTAAAAAAATTTTTAAAAAGAATTTGTATTTTTTGCTGTTATTAAAAGATTATTAAAAGTTGGGAAATGCCAATAAAATGAACTGTGAGCTCTTTCAAAATTAGCCTATTAGGATTAACCTATTGGAGCTTTATTGAAAAAAAGTATTTAAAAAAAAGTCTAAATACTTTTGGAATTATTGTCATTAATTCTGTGGTTTGATCACAGAATAAGTTAATAACGATACCCAATTTTTAAAAAGTATTAGATTATTGAGAATACAAATTTGCAGGATTTAATACAGGAGTTTTCTGTAATTCAGTAAACCCACATCAGCACATTATTAGAAGATGAAAACTATGATTATCGAAGTAGTATGTAAGAATGCTGAAAGAATAGCAACATTTGCATTATTATTTTGTTTCATAACCATCGCTGAACTGCCGACCCAATTATGAGTTCATGACTGCCAATGTTCAACTCCTTATCCTCGTAATTGTGAACCCAATCCAAAAGACAAAGATCAACTCCTGGATCAAGTATTGGGAGAAACTTTCTTTCTGGGAGAGCCTTTTGATGGCACTAACCCGCATTTGCATTACTTGGATAGGGCAACTACTAATACCTCCCACGGTTAGTCAGAAGGCAAAGGGACTTTAACCCATAACCCGTCTACAACTGAGTGTATTTTACGTCAGCCCTGAGGTCGGCGTGAGCTGGGTGCCGAATTCGTATCGACCAGCCATTGCTGGGATTCGGACCCGGTACACATGATTGAGAGGCCAGAGCTCTATCACCTGAGCCACCATTGAGCTTTTTTCATTATTTGGCTATATATAGCAAATAATACCCAGAAAATGAAGACAGGTATAGTTTATTAAGGATCTATAGGGAAAATAAATTAAATTCTCCCCCAGTCCTTTATCGTTGCAATTAGCAATTAAGTAGTTTCGACGTTTCAAATGATATTAAGTGAAATTGTGCTCTTTCTTTTCGCAATTTCCTTCTACACTTCGGCAAACAATTGTTTCAAATTTTTGTGGTATTTAGCGCAAAAATTTCTATGGTATTTAGCATAAACTATTATTTACACATTATTTGCTAGAATTTAAAGCATTATTTATAACACATTATTTGCTAGAAAGCAGTGTTTCAAAAAAAACTGAACTTTTTTCTTATGAAATTATTTATTTTTAAATTGTTTAGATCCTTGTGATACAAAAGCACCCATTATTTTACCAAACTACATTTAATTTTTTATAAATATTATCAAACCTTACTGATTAAGAATTGTTGCACTAATGAGAAAACCATTTTCCACTGTTACTAAACTTTTTAAAATTAATTTCAGCATTAGGTTGCCATTAATAACCAAACGGATTTTCAATAAAATGCTAGAATGTTTCCTAAATCTTTATACAGTATTTATATTAAAAACTAGAAGTGGGTTCACCTATCCCACGTATTGAATATAACAATACATAAATCTTCTTCGATTGTACCTATAAAAAAAATAAAAAAATAAAAAAAAGTCCTCCTTTTAGACACGTGCTTGAACCTCCCCGCACGAGTAACAATATCTCCGATGACATAAAAACCTGATGACAAACTAATTCCTTGTTTTGTTTTTATGTCCCTTTCTTCAATCAATTCTTCGTGTTATCAACCCTAATGGTGCGAACAAAGATAAGAACCTTGAATCTTTTATTATAGGGGCTTGGTGACGTAACATACATATAAGAGATTTTAGGGCACTAAATGCACCTTTAGTGTTCTCTTTTTCTTCTACTTACCCATTTAGATATAATATGTATAAAGTGTTGCTTTGTGTAATAGCAGTGTCTTTGTTTAAAAATCCCATTAGCAATGTCTGGTCACAGCCCATAGACAGTTTTGACGACTCAGTACCACTATCAGATATGGTTGGTAATTATCTATATATAATTATAATTTAGATATAGTAAGTTTGATGTAATGAGCAGAAATAATAATGGGGAGTTGTCATTAAGTATCAAGTTAATATGCTCAAAAAAATCTTTTCTTAAAACAAACACCTGTTTCAAGGAGATTCTGTTTGTTAGGGAACTTCTGCTTCATTTTAGATCATTTGATTGAAATAATTATTTAATTTTCAATTTTTCGCTATTTGGCCAAAATTTAGAAAATATTATGATCAAGCTGAAAAAATATGGAGCGATTTAGTGGATGATAATGCGTTGAAAGAAATTGTTCCAAAAACTAATAACTACTCCAGGGAGTATCAGTTTGCTAGGAAACTTGCGTTTACATATTCATCGGAGATAATTTGATTGAAAGATTTGTTTCATTTTAAATATATAAAAAAAATTATTCATCAAATTGTATAAAATTTTAAATTTTAAGACGGGATGGATAAAAATGTTTAGACCAAGCTAGTTAATTATTGAAACCAGTTAGAAAAACCAAGCAAATGGAAAACATTGATTTAAATCCGTTTGAGCTCAGGAAAGAAGTTTTTGATTTCTGAAAAATGACTCTGTTTCAATCTTTTTACTATGCAGATTTTGCGTCTAGAAAAATTTCATTATTATATAAATCAGTTCATAATTAACTAGAATCGGGGATTTTGATGTGAAATAGGTAGTCTTAAACTATTCCCCAAATATTTGCCTGTGAATTTTCTCAGAATATTAAAAGATTTCACAACTCAAATTGATCACCCAAATGATGTAATTCTCATTCCTAATTAAAAAATAATGGCATTTAAGAACCTTAAAAGCTATAAATATTTAAAAATGAAAAATATTTATAGATTTGGAGCCCTTAAATCAAATTTAAAAATAAATATTTTTAAACTTAGCTAGTTTGCAAGTGGAAGAAGTGTTAAAAAGTTTCTTTGAAATTTCATAGTAACCAGTTTGTCCCTTCATTTTTTGTGGTAAAATTAAGATTTATCTCTCCATCAAGGAATTTACTATAATCCCCCTTTTTTGAGTTTATAAACGAAGTGGGCAAATCAGCAGATGACCCCATTTTACCTTTTTAATTTTTTGATGTTTCATTATCTTGTAAATTAAATAGGGGGGCAACAATATGTAAACAAGTATTTTTTCTTTAATTGCATTTTTCTTTTAAAAATCATAAATTAGATTTCTTTATTCACTTCTATTTCAATCTAACCGTAATTGTCATAGAAATATCCAGCTTACCTATTCTTCCGCATCTAAATAATCTATGAAGGAAATCTCAAGGAATAAAAAAATTTTTGAGACACCTGCATTTGTCAATTATGCCTGTGCATTTTCATTTATCAAAAAAATAGAAATATTAATGGGTTAACAGATAAGTTTCTGTCGTTTTCTTTTTAAATTTTATATGTTTGGACATACTTAAAAAAAGTCGTATAAACTAAATGTTGACTGTTTGTTCATGAGAAAAATAAAAAAAATTTAACACTTTAAATAACTTTTGATCTATTGATTGGAGTTTTGCATGCACAATACAATCTTAATAGAGGTATTTCATTTTTTTTTTTTGGCAGACAGGATTTTATGTCAAGAAATAAGTTACAAAAATGTACTTTCCTACATAACCATTCCTTTTTTTTCTAACGGATTCAATTTCTTGATCCTCAAATCAGGGCTCAATCTTAAAAATATAGTCTCAATGATTTAACAAGTCGAAAATTTTTGACACCCAAAACACGAATTCCAATTTTTTTGAATTTTTCTAGTATGTCTGGAGCTATTTAAATTAATATAAAACTTTTTAAGCACAATTGTACAACTTGCCCAAACTCCATGTAATTTTCTTTTTTTGATGTAAAAATCATTTTTTTATATTCATTATTTAGTTCAAAATAATGGTTAACAAAATTGCCTGAATGAAGGTACTTAAACATTTACGCCGTGTCATTCGACTGTGTAATTTTAATTAACGAAATTCAAATTTTGAAAATAATAGGTAAAGAAATAAAAATTTAAAAATATTATTTTTTCAAACTTTATTACTCAGAAACTATTCGCCGATTTTACTCAACTCTTGTACTTTGATATTTCACTTTACGTAGTTTGAAACAAATTTAAAACTTTTATACTTTGCAATTGAAATCCTTTTATTCTTTTTCTATCCATTAAATAAAAAGATAAATGATCTTTAGAAACTGCATTTTACTTGAAATTTTCTTTAGACAAACCAAATTTACAATCATGTACAAAATTCTTTTGATTCGCTTAAATAATTCCAAAGATATTTCAAAGTTTGGAAAAAGGGAAATTAGTATTAAGTATCTTAAACTTTAGACTGCATTCCTACCCCCTACCCTTATTTTGAGGTCAAAAATTCTTTGGAAAAAAAATAACATGGTTATTCTGAGACAATTTCTTAACTTAAAACATCATGCCCCCTAATTAATTCGCTTATTTAAGGTTATCTTTCCCAGCAGTTAATATTGCATTTTAATACCTTAACATCCGAAATAGATTAAAAGCTACTAAAATGTTCTTTTTTTTGATGCACTAAGCATCTAAAATATTTTTTAATTAGAGAAAAATAAGCATTGAATTTTTTTTAAACCATTGAGCTATTTTCTAAAAAATATTCCTAATAGTTTTTATAATGTAAGAAAAAGACTGATTTACAAAAGCAATATAAAATTTTTACAAATTAGAAAGTTATTAAAACTTAGAAAAATACTCGATATCAAACTTTTTCATGCAATTAGGAGATTACTTTTAGTTATTATTGATTGTATGGTATCAAAATCTTGTTAATATCAAAAAATAACACCAAAACTATTATCAACTTTTCAGTTAAAACCTAAAACAATGAGAGTAATGGGTTCTAAGGGAAACTGTTAAACAAAATAAACTAATGTTTTGCTTTACATTCAACAGGACATCTTGACTGAGAATAATCCCGATAAAACTGATGAAGGTGATCCATTGATTGAAGGTGATATAGTCCTTCCTCCAATGCCAGATGGAAACTCGAATGATATCGAAGATGAATTGGAGACGAGAAAGGGAATGTTAAACGTCATTAACTTGTGGCCAAGTGGGCGAGTATCATACAACTTTCACTCGTGTAAGAACAAAGTAATTCACGAAATATAAAATTGAACAGCTTAGTAGAAAAAAATTCTCATTGAAATTTTTGAAAGTTTAGTTTTAATTTAGGAATATCAGTTTCTGAGCTTTTTCACCACCTTATTTAAAGACTTCAAAAAAAAACTAAAAAAATTGTTTACTATATTAACAGAAAATTTAACAGGATGTGTTTTAAAATTGATTTATCGAATGCAGTATAAGACTTAAACGTGTTCCAGCTTGTTCAGTATTTGGGATCTGTAAACGGGCTAATCTAATTAAGAATTCGTCACCATAGTCAGCAAGTTTACACAGCAACGTTCGATCATTTTCAAGCAATCAAGGAATAAGAACAAGTCCATTCCAGAAACACCTTTGGTGCAACTCTTTTTACTATATCAGTTGTTTCGAATTTATATTTTTCCATAGCAATCCATAGCATTCAAGCATCAGAATTAAAACAGTTGGGGACTGGAAGGTGCCTTGGGAATAGGCTTTTGAATTGGCTAGAAAAGGGATCATGAAGAAGGCGAAGTGCCAAGGCGCAGAGTCGTGGTAAAACAAGATGAGCAGGGTTCGAATCCAAGCGATAGCTGGTAGATACAAATTCCGCACCCGGATCGCACCGATCACTGTGCTGACGTAAAATATCCTCAGTAGTAGACGGATCATGGGTCAGAGTTCCTTTGCCATCAGGCTAACCGTGGGAGGTTTTCTTTCCCCGTAACGCAAATGCGTGTCAGTTTCATCAAAAAGTCTTCCTCGAAGGCGAATTTATTGCAATACTTGATTCGAGAATTACCACGTCTTCTAGATTGAGTTCAAAATTACTAGGCTACCGAGTTGATCATTGGTAGTCGTAAACCCAAAATTGGGTCGGCTTTTCAACGACGGTTATAAAATCTCCACGATGCCATGTCAGGACCTTTTTTGAATCTGCGAATGAGCCATTAAATGGAATATCAGACATCAGTTAGTAGTCTGAGTTTTATAATTCTGTCATACTATTTTCTTCAGTGGTGGTCGTTGATGGCCTTCTATCACAAACCTCATTCGCAACTTTTCATGAGCTTCAAAAATGCTCTTGCTGCTTGTAAACTTGGGGCTCTATCAAGCAATCTTCACCAAAGAACCTTTTTTCCATGGTTCATCAGCTTTTATTTTAAATTTGTCTACTTTATTCTCGACAAATTTAGAATGGAGCATAGCATCGAACGCAACATAGAGGCTCGAAGAAGAATTCAAAATTAGTTTCACGAACTGCCTGTCCTTACTCCTCGAATGGTCTAAGACAGTTGAGTTACATACCGTAACTCAATTGTCATACAACTTTAACAACTCACAGAACGCAAGATGACCAACCTCTTGACCGATATCAAATGGTATGAACATGCTTTAACGTGTTTTAAATTCAGTGACTTTGCTATCTAAAAGCACTTCGTAATGGGTATTAAGATCCAAGCCTTTTTAGAGTCTCCTGAATGTCATACTAAGCTCTTCAACTGTACTTGAGGTAAAGTAATGCACTCTTGCCAAATTAAATTATAAATTGAAAACTTTTTACTGTAATTTCATTTCCACGAAGGATACGTTATTGAAGCGCCAACCAGTGTCTTGGCATTGATACCGTCATAGAAAAGACACTGAAGCCAACGCGCCGAAATAGTTCGGCAGCCAAAAAACAACAGCTTCCAGAAGAATTCTTAAAAGAATAACTCGTGTACAGAACTAAGTTTGAGTTTTGCAATAGGACAATTGCAGTTGATGTTGGAAATTATCGTTTAGTATTTGAAAATAATGCTTTTGAAATAACTTCATTTCAGCTTTCTTGGCATTAGTTAGTTTTTTTTATCATAGTGAGAACAAAGGCGTCACATTTCAAGTAATTTAAGCGTAATTATAATAAATTTTTTTTAAATTATAAAAAAATAATATAAATAAATTAAATACGATGGAGAATATGTAAGCAGTTATTCTCGGATTTTAAGTTTAGAATTCGTTTTGTTAGTGAAATTTGCTTTTTATTTCATAACCAACCTTAAACAGCCGATCCAGTTCTGTGTTTACGACTTCCAATGTTCAACTCAGAAGCCCTGTAATTTTGACCACACTCCAGAAGACACGAGAACTTCTGGATAAAGTATTGGGTGAAATTTGTCTTCGTGGAACTGATTTTTCAAATTTTTGTCAAAAATGGAGTTATAAAAATATGCCAAAATCAATATACAAGTGAAGATAAAACAAGACCATTTACAAGACCAGTTGAATTCGTTTTGAGGATTGCGCAAAATGACTATCAATTTGATAACCTTAAAACCTTTAAAATAGTTCTACAACTCTTATCTGCTTCTTCCAGCTTGCTGTTTCAGTTGCACCTTCATGAGAAGAGATTCATTAGAAAGCATTTTCTTCTGACTTAAATAATAATTTCTGATGTCTGTAATTTCTTGACTTCAGCTTTGTCGACCATTTCAAAAATATGTATTGAGAGTAGTCACGCACATTACATTAGTTTGATGATAATTTCAATCACTGCTTGGAATATTTGTGGTTGATTCTAATTAAAAGAGATGCAAAAAGTCTCTACGATTTAATTTTGGTGATCATGAGGCTTAACTTTAAGTAGAAAAAAACATAAGTAACTATGAACTAGTTGACATAAACATCTAATTATAAAAAATATAAATAACTGGTAAAAGGACTCTAAATACGTAAAATTCGTACGTAAAAGGATTCTAAAGACGTAAAATTCGTACGTAAAAGGATTTTGAAGACGTAACATTCGTGCGTAAGAGGTATCTCAAGACGTAAAATTCTTACGCAAAAGGATTCTAAAGATGTAAAATTCGCATGTAAAAGGATTCTAAATACGTAAAAGGATTCTAAAGTTGTTATTTTTCTTCGTCGAACTAAGAAAAGAAAACATATGAAAATAATTTCTAAATTTTTCCTTAAAATATTGCCCTAAATGCGTGTTTGTCTTATAATTTTATATTAAGAGGTTAAATTCATGTATCTTGGTTTTAAAAAAACTTTTTCAAATGGACTACAATTTTTAATTCAAGATAAATTGATATTCTTCTTTACTGTAATACCAAGTCGTTGATGAATATTTTGTTTTTATAATTTTTAAATGATTTGGTTGGCCAACTAAAATTTTGAGCAGATCTCAGATATTTTCGCGTCGCTGATTTAAGGCTTGCAACCACTTTCTCGCTACAAGCTACAGTTTAATGTAATTTAATATTATATTCTTAACCCATAATTCTTTGAAATTCACATACGATGTATAATAAAGAGTCTCCACTTTTCTGCTACGTATTGAACGATAGGAAGAAGGCAATAATACATTTCAGTTTATTATACAATAACTTAAGCTTAAACGAGCGTGTTTTTTGTCTTCAGTGTTATTTTCAAAGGCGCAGACAAGTATATATGTATGTATATTAACCTATGCGCTCTTTATAAACTAGTACATTCAGACAAAAACTAAACTAAACTATAGATACCATTTTGAAAAATATCTGTAGCTTTTGAAACTAAACTAGCATCAGATTTGCAAACTTCACGACCCAATCAGATAATGTAATGTATAAATGCAATGCACTTATATGTATTTGTATATGTTTTCGTGTAATTGAAACAGAAAAACTTGTTTCCCAGTGTAATCTTGGTGTATTTTTTCAGCTGTCAGCAAACAAACAAAGGAAAGGATCCGAGAAGCCATGGACAAATGGGAAAATGAGACATGTCTTCGCTTCCATGAAACTCTTGTAGATTTTTCATACATTCGATTTAGAACTGACAAATCGGGGTAAGAACGAAGAAAATTAAAAACATAAGTCTTTTTTAAGTAGAATTTGTATGAATTTTCTTTTTCTTTCTTTTTACTTTCCAGATGTTGGTCCTTGGTGGGTAGACAAAACCAACCGTTTCGAGGTCAAGATGTTTCCATTGGACCAGGTTGCGAAAGAGTAAGGAAAAAAATATTTTTATCCGTGAATAATTCTTTTTTTTCTACATAAACAAGGCATCCTAATCCATTTCACCCCTTTGAGCCATTGAGATATAGTCCTAGAATGTGAAAATCCGATCTTAAGATCAAACGTTACTCAGGGTATTCTGTTTCTTACTTTGTGCACTGTACAGTGCTAAGAAAAGCGGACAAATTTGAATAACTTTTGTTGTAATGATCGGATCTTCAATTCTAGGACTCAATTTTAATGGCTCAAAGGGGTGATTTTAAATTTGCTAATTAATAATTACACGTGATACTTTAAGTTACGAAATCAGACACACATACTTACTTTCTCTGAATAAACATACCATTTTTCGATGGATTTGGATTTTTGCCCCGCAAAATATAGGGGGCAGTCGCAATCTCGGAAACAGGTTCTCAAAAGTTTGATCAGGAGAGGACACACTTTTAAAAAAATATTTACATAATTTTATCAAAATCGGTGAAATAGTTCCTAAGAAATTACATTTTATTAAAAAAAAAATCGATACTTAAAATTTGATTTCTCAAAAACTATTCGACCGATATTGCTCAAATTTTATATTTTGCCATGTAAAAGTATATTCTTTGAAATTATATAAAAAAAAATTCATTCCTTACAATTCAAAAATTTTTTCGATCATTATTAAATAAATAATCAAAAATAACAAATATTTACTAAAAGCTATTTTTCACACGGGATTATTTTTGGTAAAACGAATTTAATTACGTGCAAAACTTTTTCAATTTGTTTGAAAAGTTCCAGAGATATAAACAAAAACGGCACAAAAATAAATTAACTTAAGGGATCCAAGCTTCTGACTGCTCTTCTGACCAAACTATTGCGACTATATTTCGCAGACTGTGGCTACCTCCTATATTTTGAGGGTTAGAGATCCGAATCTGTCGAAAAAAAGGTATGTTTATTCAGAGAATGTACATTTTTGTGTCTTATTTCATAACTTAAATTAGTGTCTGCACTTATTCATTAGCATATTTGATGTCATTCTCTCGAACCATTTAGATTGAGTCCTTGAAAGTGAAAATCCGATCATTAGATCAAAAGTAATTCAGGGTGGTCCGGGTTTTTTTTGTGCCCTGTGCATACTTTCTTTACTTCTTTTTTTACAAAGAGTCTACAAATATATATTAAAGGTGGTGCTAGCAGAAACATCCTGTAGATAAGTCTAGATTTGTGTAATATTTCAGGTCTTCCAAATAGCCAATTTTACATTTTCTGGAGAAACTTTGTTGCTAAATTGAACTTAAAAATCCATACAAATTTATACTTGGAATTTTTTTGTAAAGTTATTAAAATTGTTTTTTTTCTTCTTTTAAGCTGCTTTAATTCTATTTATTTATCCAAAAAAAAATTTAAGTTTTCTGTTTTAATGATAAAAATTCCTTAGGTTTCTGTTATTACTCATGAAGTTGGCCATGCTATAGGATTGTACCATGAACAATCTCGTATAGACAGAGACAGATACGTAAACATTCTTTGGAACAACATCCCGCCTGGAATGACTTCTCAATTCTCACAAGGAATGGACTTTCCTAGGGGAGTAGAATATGATTATACATCTATAATGCATTACAGCGCAATGGTATGCTTATTTACAAAATCGTACAGTTTATTTTAACGCATTCATCAGAAATTAACACTTTTAAAAATTTTATTTCAAGAAAAAAAAACAATGAAACTCTTTAAATGTTAAAAATGTTCCAAATGAATCCAGTGTCATTTATGGTATAATTGTTAAAGATGGAGTTTACAAATTATAAATAAATAAATATACAGAAATAAAACAAACAAAAAAAAATTTTTGCATTACAAATCGTAGCAGGATGCATTATTTTTATAGTCGTAAATTAAATAACGATTCAAATTACATCAAAATTATCGCATTTTTATTTTGTTATTCGGTTACAACAATGACTTGTTGGCTACAAATAGTTATTGTAGTAATTAACAATTCTATTACGACGGTGCAGTATGATAGCTAGAAAATTTAAAATAATGGTAAATCTTTTCTCAAACTAAAGCATTTCAAAGCTAAATTCTTCAATTTTTGACTTTTTTTGAGCAATAAAGTTTTAAGTCAATAAAAACTTATCCTTCTGTTCATTTATATTAACCAATAAAATTTTCAATCAAATTTAAAAAAAAAAAATACTAAACTTTCTTAACATAGGTCCAAAATTTCGCATTTTTTGCGTACATTTATGCAATGAAAAGTTAAACGTAAGGCTAACTTCTTGAAAAGCATAAACATAACACAAATTTTAGCATTCAAGTTACAAAAGTGTATATTTTAGAATGCAAAGTAGCTAGAAAAAGAATTTATATATCTAATAATTGACACGAAATGCTTTTTTTATTAATTGATTTCTTTTTAATTTTGAACCCAATTTTTTTACATTACCCTTCTTTAAATTAAGATTTAGGACCACCATGAGCTTAATATTTTTAAATTTCAAAACACAGTTTAAATAATATTTATAATTTTTTTTTAAGAAACTACGTACGTTCTACGTCTACGAAACTACGTTAAGAAACTACGTTTTTTGCCAAAGATATGAAACCTTAAACTCATTTCGGTGTGTTTAATTATGTTCCAATTTGACTAAACAAAATTACAAATATGTGAGTACAGTGGCATTTTTTTTGTGGCGCACTCGCAAACTAAAATTAATAAATGTTTTAATTTTTCTAGGAGTGTTCAAATCATTGTCGCTTTTGGAAATATTTTTTTTACTTTTCAGGCTTTTAGCAAAGCAATGTTTGAAAAAAATACTATCACAACGAAAAATCCTCATTATCAACGACTGATTGGAAGTGGACGTGTGATTTCTTTTAGAGATGCAAAGCTCGTGAATCGAATGTATTCCTGCAATTGTAAGTCTGTTTCTAGTATTTTATATCTTAATTACTAGATTTTATCAGTTTTTCTCTGTAATTATAACTAAGTAAAAATATCTGGAGCTCCATATTTTGAAGCCGTCATTTCATAGATGTCTTCTTTTCGTTGAGGCCAGAGATATTTTTTATCGGAATAAAATAGTTGTGAATACGTTGGAAGAATAAAAACAACAAATATTTCAATATTTGTTCCCGTACCTAGACTGTATCTACTTTTAATACATGACAGTCTTTCTAACTTCAATTAAAATTTCTTTCAATACATAAATAAAAAAATTCATTAAAAAACTAAATTTATTATTATATTGAAGTTTTAGAGCTGAAAGGTGCTTGGATTAAGAATACAGTCTGGGTTTGAGATTAAAATGACTTAAAATATAATAAATTTTACCGTTACATTGCAAATATTCATGGTGTACTTGCAATGATTACACATTGCTTATAAATATAGATTCCATGCTTTTTAAACTATTTGTGCACTTAAAAACGAATATATTATCTTCTTTCTCTTTTGTATTGAATAAAGTGATTAAACGAAACTTTTTATTTACCTGTTATATATATATATATATGGAACAACATCCCNTATGGTCTCTAGCGTTTGGTCAAGAGAGCGATCAAAAATTTGATCCCTTAAATGTTAATTTTGCTTTTTGCGTACTTATTTCTAGCGTACTTAATTTGCGTTGCTATATTTCTAGAACTTTTAATGTGAATTGAAAATGATTTGCATATATATATATATATATATATATATTATCATCTGCGATGAATTCATTGGAGATCGTAGTATTTACTTGCCCTCTGGTACTTCGTGAATAGGATACTGATGTAAACCATTCTTAAAACCTTTTACACCTTTTGTTTATTTGCTTACAACAGTTCCTACAAGACAATAATATCTTCCATTAGTAGCAATAGTGTGACGATAATTGTTTGCACTACACATACTGTCTGCCACTAAAAATCGTACTAATGCGCGATTTTACATTCACCTTAAATGCTCCCTTCTGACTAGTTGAAGGGTGCAGTATTTCTGATATTGTAACTCATATCTACGGTTCATTTTGGGTGAAGTTTCTTTCTTAAACTCATTGTTATAACAAACAGATTACTCTGTTTGTAATATTGTTTGTATTGTAATTGCTAGTTTTTATGGTATAAATTGTGTGGTCACTCTTTTATTATTTCAATATCTTCAGCTTTTTGCCCCAACCTCTTCAATGAATCACAACAATGTGAAAATAATGGTTATTTAGCACCTTACAGAAATGACGGCAAAGACTGTGCCTGCAACTGTCCACCCGGAACTTCAGGAGAACGTTGTGAGAACGTTATCTATGATGGTTACTATAGTGAGTATAATTTTGGTACAAATATAGTTATAAATAATCTTTTAAACTATATCTATTGATGAAATTGAAAAGCACTCATACAAGTGGTAATAGACATCCCCTTTTTTCAAAGTATATTTGTCTTAATTTGTACTCGTTCCTTAAGAGCAATCATAATTTTAAAAAAAAAATAATTATGGTGGTTACTATGAAGAGCATCATTATCAGATTTTTAGTAAAAATATAATAACAAATAATCTATACGTATCTATATTAATATATACTTTAATCCATACTTATTATAAAATTAAAAAGCACTCATTCAAATGATAATAAGCACCCCTCATATTTTTAAATATATTTGTTTTAATTTGCACTTGTTCATTAAGTGCAACCATAATTTTTTTTAAAAAATTGAAAACAAATTTATAAGAAAAATGTTTCTAATCTCATTTCTGCTCCCTAATCGCTGTCTATGACATATTTTGGCAATCTTTTCCGAAAATGAAATTTAAAAAAAATTACACCTATTGATCATCGAAATTTAATATTAAAGCTCAAAAAAAGCACTATCGATATCCAACAAACCAATATAAAGGAATGAGGATAAGAAAACATCAAAATCTGTGAAATTTCCAATTGAAACTTCATTCAGTTACCATCATCTGTCATTTAACCTCACTCCCTGTCAGAAGGATTTTGAACATGGTTTTTGAAAAATAAAATTTGATCTAAAATATTTAAAAGATAAATAACATAGCTATCAAATGAACATGGGTATCCACGCTTTTATTCATTTTAGTCGTTCCAGACAGGAGTATCACTGATACAGTGATATGAGTTGGATACCTCCGTATCATGGTACCAAGTATACTTGCAAGATTACAATGCAAACGTAAGCTCAAAAGATGCTTTTTGTGAATGTGTTTATTAAAAATGAGGATCAAGGAATGCGTGCTAATAATGTTAGAAAATAATTTGATACGGTGATTATTCAATAAAAGTATCCCGCCGCGGAAGAGTAATCTCTGATACAGAGAATATGAGATGGATATCTCCGAACCATTGTAAAAGTATACTTGCAAGATTGTAGTGCAAAGAAATAATAACATGCTCTATATTGTAAACATTTCATATGCTTTATAAATTATAAAGCAGTAAAAGTTGGCATATTTCTAGCGTTTGTAAGTAGTATGAGGTAATTCTCAAGACTCAACTGGCGTAAATAAATAAAATAAAAAAATTAAAAGAAGTATTGAAAAAGAGAATTCAAACTTGTCAACGAAAAATGTCAGTTTTTTTTAAATTTTTTTTTTAAATTTTATTTTTAAATCCATTTTTTCCCCACTTAGACTCTTGCTTTACATTTTGTGTAGATCTTTCAAAGTGGAATTATTCTACAAAAAATTTTAACTTTGTAATAAATATTGAAGCCGTTGCAACTCAAACTTATATTTATATATAAAACTTTCCATCTTTGTTATTAATAACATACATAGTAATAAATCACAGAATCAATAAATCATAATTTTTTAAATTACAAGATTTCCATGGCGTTTTCTTCTACGTTTTATCAGATGATTTGCATATAAATGTCGGCAAAACTATTTTTTGCAATTTTGAACATTTTTATACGATTTAATCTTGATTAAATGATGTAGGGTAGATCTGAAAAGATGTTTATATAATCCATTCTCGTTTAGCATGTGTTTGTGGAAATTTTTCGAATAACAAAGTAAATAGAAAAAAAAATTTCAAAAACTATATAAACACTTATAAAAAGAGTTTGAATATATTTTTACTTGTTCTTATCTCTGTATTAATTTTTTCATAACAAAGAATAAATTTTTTATAAATTTTTATTGAAGGTCCACCTATATGCGGTGGTAACGTGACGGAAGAAACAGAAATTAAAACACCTGGATACCCATTCAGAAATCTTCCCATTGATCCTTGCAGTTGGTGGATTCAGGTAAATTTGATGGAATATTATATGTAATATGCACATTTAAATCCGTCAAGTTGAGTCCCTTTTAAAATTAATCGACTAAGTTAACCGCAAAAGCAACGCACGGCAAATGATCAACTTATATAGGTTTCACTGTATTATGTTTTTTTTTTAATTATTTCATTTTGAATGCATAGAAGTCACTTGACGACAAGTTTGGAACACAGTAAATATAGTCTGGAACTATCACCTGCAATCATTGAATATTTTCTGAAATATGCTATTGAATATCCCGTGAAGAAAAGAGCTTGGAAATAAAGTATTGGAATGTATATTTCCCTTTATTTTAGGTCTGCCAACATGTGATACCGGAAATCCCGAAAATAGCCGTTGATCTGAAAAATTGGTAACCGAAATACGTGTTAAAATCAGTAGAAATGTCCTCCCACCGATAGCGTTGCCGATTAGGAAAAGCTATGAAACAACTTTTTTGAAATAATCATCATTTGCAGAAAAGCGCATTGGACAAACGTATGAAGGCAAAATAAACACACTGTTGAATAAATATTTTCAGTTGTAATGGTGTGACTACTAGTCAACAGCGCCATCTGTTCAAGATCTCTCTAACCTATTTTAAAACTTATTGAGAATAACTAGTTTCTAAACCGAACGCAGTAAATCTTAAATTTCTGACTTATTTCGTTTTTTAAAACAATTTTTCAAATCAGCGATTATTTTTTGCACACCTAGTTACAATTCTGAAAGTAAAATAAGTAAGTTTTTGTAAGTTTATAGGTAAGTTTTTGTAGGATAAGAACAAATTCGATTAGTTGCCATACTAACTAACTAACTAACTCCCTGGCATTACAGTCCATGTTGGACCATGACCTCACTAACCATTTTTTTTCCAAAGTCGCCTGTCACTAGCTCTTTGTTCCCAGTTTCTGATGTTTAGAATCTTAAGGTCTTTCTCCACCTCGTCTAACCATCTCTTGGGCGGCCTTCCTCTTTTCCTTTGACCCTGGCACTGCTCCTTGAATATCTTCTTAGTGCCTCTGCTTTCCTCCATTCTTTCAAGGTGTCCTAGCCATTGAATTCTCTTTGCTTTTACATACATGATTATATTTTTTTCTTTAAATAGTCTTGAAATTTCAAAATTTTATCGCCTTCTCCACAGATCACCCTCTTTGACAGGTTCAAAAATAGTTCTGAGAACTTTTCTTTCCCAGGTAATCAGCATTTTTTCTTGTTTCTGCGTTGGAGTTCATGTCTCTGATCCATAGATAACGGTTGGTCTGATTATGGTTTTAATTGCTATACTAGCTACCAAAATTAAGTTTGTTAATTTCCGTATGAAATTGATTTGTTTAAAAGACATTAATTAATTATATATCAACTGTTATGCTTTATTTTAAATTTCTTTCCTCATTACTCGATTAAATTACTCTAAAGAATTACCATTACGGCAAGCTATAAAATGAATATACCGAAACAAACATTGTTTTTAATTTCTAGTTGGCTGTTTGCTTTATTATACTTTTTCTACAATGTGCTCTTTCCAGGCTCCTTACGGCAAGCGAGTCATGGTGACATTTGATGACTTTAGTTTTGCCCCACGTCTAGTTGCCTCCAGAGCCAGCAAATATCGAAACAGATGCCTGCAAGAAAGGGTTGAAATCAGAACAAGAAGCATGGCTGAAGGAAACATGTAATCATTTAATTATACTTTTACTAAATTCGCTGCTGTACCAAATTTCATACATTTGCTCTGTATTCAAATCCATATTTATAGATTTTTTTTCTAAAAGGGAGTTATTGGAACCAACTTGTCGGGTGTCGCAAACTGATATTTATAAACAGTGAGATGAAGAATCTAATACATTACCAAAGTTTTACGAAACTGCAACGAAGACAATTACAGCTAAGGTTAAACTGGTGTAAAAAAATCATCTTTTCAGCTAGAAAATTAGAAAATTCTTTTTAGCACGTTGAATGCCACGCTAATTTTACATGGCTTGCCCGTCTGGCCAAAATGATTTTCTCAGTATGTATTGCATTAATTTCTTCAAATCATTTTAATAACGATAATAATGTAACAAAATTTAAAAGCATTAAAAATGTACTCGAATTATGTGTAATAATCTTGGCTTCGCCGGTCACCGGTGATCCCCATGGCATTCAACGTGATAATGATAACCTTTCTGTTTGATCCGACAAATATTGAGTCGGCAACCAAGTTCCTAACGTTTTCTAAGCATTAACTACTCATGACATTAGTATGAGGAGGTGGAACAGCTAAAAAATCTGCTCGTGATTGGATATGCAAAGTTTAAAAAAGGAAATTTTGATTTCAATGACTCACCTTGTATTGGACATCCAGTTTATCTCAATTAACAGCGATAAATCCAACTTTTGTACGAAAATTTGAATAACATGGCTTGGTAACTTACAAAGAAAATGAAATGCTTCAATAATTTAAACTTTTTAAAAAAAATATAAAGAAATCAGTAGACAACCCAATATATTTTTGAGAGACTTGTAATTAGTTTGTTTAAAATTAATTATATTATAAACAATTCAAAACTTTTTTTACAATTATCATAATAGTTAACAATTACTTATTATAAATTAACAACTGCTAATTATAAATTAACGATTACCAATAGTTAGAATAAAAACAATTTATTATTGAGGGAAGTGATGGTCTATGCTGCCGCACCGATCACCATATCATTCGAAATGGAGCTCTGACCGGTCACCGATATAGGGATGAGATCTTGAGACCTATTCCAGTCCCTTACACTTCAGCAAGTGGAGATGACTTCATGTTTATGGACGGCAATTGCCGGCCGCATCGTGGTAGCTTGGTGAATGATTTCCGTTTGGAAGATGGAATCATACGAATTGATTGGTCAGCGTGATCTCCGGACATGAGCCCAATTGAGCATGGTTGGGACATTCTAAGCAGACTAATTGCTGAACTCCTACCACCCCCAGAAACTCTCCAAGAACTAAAAAGAGCTCTTCTGGAAGAGTGGGACAAACTACCGTATCCCTCATTAATAACCTCGTTGATTCAAAGGTGTTTCAACGTTGCTGGAATATATATATATATATATGTAATATAANACATATATATATGTATTTTTTTGTTTTGTTTTTGCTTCTAGGTATTGTGGGGAAGACATTAAGCCAGGAACAAATCTCCAATCAACAGGAAGGCAATTCATGATTATAATTAACACCAATGGACACGACAAAGACACGAGAGGATTGAAAGCCAAGATCACTTTTACTTAAAGAAGCTCAAAAGCATATTCATTATTATTCACTTGTACGCGCATCATCTTTTAGTAAAAAAAATCATTTAAACTATATGTCTGTCTAAGTTTGTTATTCCAAGTTTCCAAATCTTTAAATTTATATTACTTTGCCTCAAAACAGTCCAAATAGTTTTTTTTTTTTTTTTTTTTACTGTGCAAATATTCAAACTTATAATTTATTTGGTAAAGTTTGCTACAATCTCAACAGAAGATTAAGCAATATTTTTGTCTTATTTGAATTACACTAGAAACTAATTTTTTTTCTTCTGTTGCATGAGCTTTTTTTAAGAGATGTTAAACATTTTCGTATCGCAGATTTCAAATCAATAATCAGTTTTTTCTCCAAGATACAGTTTTTTTAGCTGATATTTTTTGTCCATTTTTTCAAAGTGTACAAGTTAAAAAAACGTTATACAGGGTGTCTCATAATAGTTTCATAATTTTATTTCATAACCATCGTTGAACAGCTGACCCAATTCTTTAGGGTTTAGAATTACTAATGTTCAACTCCGTAGTCTGGTATTTCCGTAGTCTTGTATCCGTAGTCTTGTATTGGGTATTTCTAACCCAATCCAGAAGACATGGGGACTACTGGATCAAGTACAGGGGAAAATTTGCCTTCAGTAGGATAAGAATTCCCTAGGTAATAAGGATTAAGAATTACCTATAAAACCGGACCATGATGACCGGAAATATTATCGTAGGAGCGCTTTTCTAAACTTGTTCAAAAGCACACAAATAAATAGTTCATAATAGAGAATCGCTCACAGCAGCTTTCCTAAGCAATTTTAATTCTGATGATGTGCCATAATTCCACTAGAAGTTTGTCGTAGCATTCATGCCACTCCCTGCTGCATATCGTGTTTTTAAACTTGTACATTTCGACAAAATAATAGACTAAAAATGCCATTTTGAAAAATTGTAGCCTTAAGAGCAAAACTATTTTCATATGTGAAATTATCACAGATCAATTAGGTAACAAAAAAACTTTTCCCCAGTGTTATTTAGGCGATGATTTCGGATTACTAATATTACCAGTTTAACGCGTATTTAAGTGAGTCTATTTTTGTGAGACACAGATTAATTGATACTAAATACATCGCGAAACGTAAATTCAAATGTATAAAATGAAATTATTATGTGTGCAACAAACATAACTTTTTAAACCTGCTTTTATCAGATCGTGGATGAAATCACTATAACCAAAACTACTATTCATAGATACTTAATTAAATAAATTTCAAACGTTAAAATACTGCAACAAAGCACTTTACTCCATTTGCATCAATTTGAATTATATTTTGGTTAAATGTTTCAAAAGTATGTTTCAGATTTCTAAGTGACTTCTATGATGATTGGTCAAAGAGTGAAAACTTTCTGTTCATCTCATAAATATTAATTTGCTCTTCGTTATCTTCAGTTTCTACAAGTATATTTAAAGGCAAAGCATTCCCGCAAAAGCCCAATCTAGGCCGAGGGGGTTTGTGGAGGTTGAGATACCACAATTCCGTGACCAACGGCATGATAGTGGCGTTGTGATCAGCATTACCTAACGACCACCTGTACTTCCCAAACGAGCTGATGCTGAGTGGGCTTAAAGCAGCCACTAGTTATAGAAACCCAGTCCTTCACAAGGACAGTGAAGTGCCTGTAATTACTGAGAAATCATTAAGCTGTATTAATATCAGTGTTATGTAGCTGGCGGTATCGTTAATTATATTCAGTGTTATAGGCTGCGTCTAAGACTTAAAATAGAAAAACTCTATATTTTTTTTATTTCTCCAAGAACAGTGGCCTAAAAGTTCAGACCAAACAAAAGTTAATTCTTTGTAAAATCAAAAGTTGGAATCAAAAGTGAATCCTTTGTAAAAAATAATTGCCGAATGGAAAGGTGTGAATAGAAATCGGTCCAGCCAACCTTATAAAAAAACTTACGCGAAAAAAGTTTTAAATTTTTTTAATTTAGTAGTTTCAAGCAAATCCAGCTGTAATTATTTTTAATTATCACTCTTCATTCAGATTTGGATCGATAGACACCAGCTTGTCAGTGATGTAAAGGGGACTGCTGTACAATGCTGATCACATGGCTACCATCAAGCGAAAGCAAAATAGTAAGGCCTTAATGACAAAATAATAACACCTTAACCTTCACAACTTCCACATGGCCAATAATGTTCTGTTCTAAGAAGCTTAACTTTTCCTGTACTGTCATGACTTATACAAGAAATAAACTGGTCAATTCTACCAATTACGCGTGTTTAAACACCGACCGGATTGTATGGTGGACAGAGAGCAGACCTCAAGTCAGAGAGGTCCTGGATTCGTATCTCGGATAAAGCATGGACGTTCGTTCCTTCTCTTCCATGTACTATCCGTCTTTCTTACTGCGAGAAGAGCGTTGGCCCATCTAACATAGTGCCCCTGATAGATTATCCAACAAATCTGCCCTTCTGATACCGGAATGACAAAAGTCAATATCCGGGTGGGCATCAGGGAAAAAACAGGTGTTAAAACAAACTGGGCTTAATCAGAAGACCCTCAAAGCCTATCTAAAAATATGTAACACTTAAAATAATCCTATTAAAAGATCATATTGCGACAACAGTGTTTACGAAACAACAAGTCTCAAAAACTTCTAACTGTGGAAATCGCGTAAAACAATTACGATTTGATGAAAGGTCTTTTGTTAGAAACTTTTAAGAAATTGCTTTACAATTGAGCTTAAACTACTCATAGATATTTAATTCAATGCAGAAAAGTTTATTGATCCTCAAAAAAACAAATAAGGAGGAAATAAAGACATATTCGTAATTAACCACGCCCTTCTTATTAGTATAATTAATTGCTGCAGTTTTTACATCACATTTATCACACTTCTTCCGGCAATGTTGATAATTTTGGGATTTATTTGACAACATTTTTCAAGTTGACTGTTTCCGCCTTAGTAAGAGTGACAGTCTCGTCAAAAAATATATGGGTAGTTCAGTCTCCGATAAGAAATCACCTTATCATCACCCCCACTCTGGTAGTAAGGAGGGAAAAATTATAAATATGTTCGCCTCAGCCCCTATACCGAAAGCTTTATAAATTCGGCAACCTTGACGAAATCTTGAAGAACAGTTGATTGAATACTTCATGCCAGGTGTTTGTTCGTTAAATGTAAAAATAAGAAAATTTTTCTCAAAGACGTAATAATATTTTCTAAGAGAAAAGATGATCATGAACTGGTTTCTCTTGATAGTATTGATGGATAATACTTTTATGGTAAAAATGATTTCATTAATCAGTTTCACTGCCTTTTTTTTTCTTAAATTGTGTTTATTTGAATTTAAAAATAAAAATATCCGCAAAGATGGAGACTTTTTGAAAGAAAAATTAACCAATTTGCTACCTCGATTTGAATAAAATAATTTACAGGCAGTGCCTTTGTGAATGCCATTATAAATTAGTTAAGGAATTACATTATTCATGTTAGCTGCAACTACTGCACCTTTAATTAATTTTAAAAAAATCCTTCATGTCTGCAGCCTTAATTTTTGATGGCAGTTCGTTATTTTTCTACGGTATAAATACTACGCAATTTTTACGGTATGGATATTACGTTTTTAAGTTTAAAGTTCTTTAATAAAAATGACCAAAAACAGATGGAGGCTTTTTAACAGAAAAACTAGCCAATTTTTTAGCATGATTTGAGTGTAATAATTTATAGTTATTGTAAATTAGTAAAGGAGTTACATTGAAGTTAGCTGCAACTAAAGTACCTTTTATTAATTTAAAAAATTTTATTTTGAGTACTATATTAATCCTATTTTATTCTATTTTATATTAATCCTATTTTATTCAATGTTTGATGGCACTTCAAAATATTTTTAATGAAATTTTTACAGTATAAATATTACGTTTTAAATTTACAGCTCTTCAATAAAAATTACCAAAACCAAAGCTTTGATTTAAATATATCTAAAAAGAAAATTATCGGTGAAAGACTATTATATAAAAAGAAAGCATCGCAGAAAAACTATATCAAAACTTTATTTTTAAACATTGCTTAAAACTAAAAATATTTCCACTAAAACTTTGAAATCAACTACTGTTCTGAGAAATAAGTTCTCTTCTACTAATCGACTTATTAAGCTGACATTATGGCAAATTAGGCAGATTAACCCAAAAAAAAAAAAAATTACAGTTTTAAGAAATAAATTTGTCATGATATGAGAAACTACATCGTGTTTGCTGATTGCAAACTGTTAATAGTTAAATTGCAGATTAACACAAAGCAACAGAAAAATATGGCATGGTAATGAACTACCCAAAACCCTTGGCGATAGCAGTTGTAAAAATATATTATAAATGCAAACATGTTTAACTATGACAAAGAACTAAAAGTAAAAAATCCCCACAATACCTATGGACTACATAGATACACGAAAATAAAAGGTATATTAAACACAAAAAATTTTCATGCCTTAAGTCTTATTTACGATAATCATATTTTATATTTCATTATAATCCTAGTTCATTGCTTTAATTTTCTCTAAGCCTATTAAGCACATCAGAGAAAAATTTACTACGTAGACTGTAATATTTTGCCACAAGTGATGCTTTTTTTTTCTTCATTTATTTTCTTATAACAGTCATTGAATAGCCGACCCAATTCTTAATTTACGACTACTAATGTTCACCTCCGTAATCTTTTAATTTTGAACACAATCCTGGACTTTTTTATGAAACTAACCCACATTTTCGTTACATGGAGGGGAAAACCACAAAAACCTCTAACGATTAGCCTCACTGCAAGTAGACTCTCACCCAAGATCCGTGTACCACTGAGGGTAGTTTACGTCACCACTGTGGTCGGTACAAGCCGGGTTCGGAATTCGGATTAACCAGGCATCGCTGGAATTAGAATCATGATCACCTCACTGGTTGGCGAGAGCTCTATCCCCTGAACTACCACGGCTAATGTTCTCAATAATAGCAATCGAAAACTCTGATGTTTTATTCTCTTAAAAATTTTAAAATGTATCCTCCTTTTTTCAATTACGTGCCTTGAATTAAATTAAATTGTTTACGAATAAACAATACAGCATTCTTATTCCGCTATATGTTGTAAGATGTAAACTGCTTACACAGTAAATTTCGCTTTTCAGATCACGTACGCTTCAAATTTGGAAGATGATTTCAAGGAACTTGATGATGAAAAAGTAAGTTAAAAACACATTTAGCTTGCTATTTTTCGAAAAAAGAATACTTTCTCAGGAAAAAAAATCAAACAGTAAGATTTTAAAAGTTTTCTCTTGGCAAATTTTTATTTTTTCCTAAGTTTGTATTACTTAACAAGTGAATAATAATTTTGGGGGCATAGTTACGTGTTTTTATTTTTGAATAAAATATTTCTTTTTAAAATGCTTGAAAAAAATGGATAAAATAAATTAAGACCAATTTTTCCTTGCGGAAATTTTTATTAAGAGTTTAAACTATTTTTTCCATCCCGAAATATCTTAGAATTGATTTATCTCAACATGAAAACATTTTAATGCAGTTAAATGATATCTTTGTAAGTTTTATAAAATTTGAAACAACTAATCAAGCGTTAATTTTCTGTTTTTTCTTCAAAGTTTAAATTCTGAAAAATATCATCGAAATCTCAATTTTTCGTGAATTTGTTGCGTGATCATATTTAAAAATTTTTAAAAATATATTGAATGCTTATAGTATATCGACATTGAGAAAAAAGAACCGCAATCGAAACTACCGGAATACGGCGAAATTTACTGCGTACATGAGAACTCCAAAAAGACGGTAATTCTTACCGCCGCGCATTGGTAATGATTATGGTTAAATTAACCATTAAATATAGTATTATAATATGTAATAAAATATAGTAAATGTGCTAAATTTAGTATTTTTATCGTAATTTCTTAAAACATTGCGTATAAACCATTTAATCGGTTAAATTCATTTTTCAGTTTTGTATTTTTTACCGGATGCGTGATAGTAAGAACTATAATTTTGAAATCCAGTATTTCTGGTTAATAAGCGGAAAAGCTAACAAATGAATGGTTTATAATTACCAAATATTTAAATTTTATTACTAGAATTACGTTTTTGCTTTCAGAAATGTATTACAATATTGTGAGATAATTTTACCAGAATTTTTTTTTGAGCGTTTAGATTGCTTACATTGAATTTAAGCAATTGTTCCAATTTTATGCGTTTAAAATACTAATATTACAAAGCAGATATAAAACGTAATATTTACGCATAAACAGTTAATGTTATAAAATATTAAAATATTATTTCTTCTATATATTTACTTTTGCTTAGCTCTTTAAATGGAATTCAAAGCTTTTTATTTAAAATGGTTCACAAATTTTCATTTATTAGCTTTTAATGAGTCTTCTTGCGCGCTCAAAGACTGATAAAGGTCAAAATCTTATGGAGGGAGACATCGTTCAAGACACTCCAATAACTTATGAGAAAAACACAATGAAAGCTTTACCACATAAAGGAGGACTTTGGTTGGATAAAATCATACCGTATACCTTTCATAAAAGTGAGCTACATTATTATTATTATTATTATATTACTTTTATATACTGAAAAAATTAAGGTACAAAGTATCGGCACTCATGGTGCAGGCATTTTTATATTTTATCCATTGTTGAACAGAAACTAAAAACTTAACCGCTTCATTCTCGCTCCCGTGAAAATGACGGCGTGAGGTTTCACCCTTTATTTCTCGCTCCCGTGATATTCCCAGGCTGGAGTGTTCAGTAGTAACTCGCCAATAAGAATAAAACTAATTCATTTTTTTGCGCAGAAAACATTTTATTTCTCATTTTACACACCAGATGGCAGTACCAAATTATTTTTAAGTAGATAGTTGGTTTATTTTAAACTAGATGTCAGCGCTAATCAAATACGTATATAATATACGTGTATTAAAAAAATAGTCACTTTTATGACCATTCTCTTGAAAATTAACCGATCGTTAAGGGGTTAAAATATTCTTTAAAGTTTCTACCCCGAGATGCTAGAAAAATAATATTAATTTTAATCAAAGTAATACTCCTGAAATAAAAACAAAACAGAAGAGTATTAGTTTCAAATTAAAAAATAAAAGGGTTATCTTGGAGTAAAAGATAGATATTTTATTAATTATTAACAAGAACATTGTTGGCGATTACGGTGAATTATTTTATGATATAGTTATTGTGTATTGTGATATTTTACAGCAATAATTATTGTAAAATCACTGAACCACTTAAAATAATTAATGTTACTGTAAAATCAACGGTATAGTATTTTACGGTAAAAATGGATTTTACGGATGATTATCTCAGAGGGCAAGTATTTTTTATTGGTATGGATTCAGAATTTTTTGCAGTGTAGCTGGATTTTGATGAACTTAAAATCTGCAAAAATGCATTAAAATATGTGGTAAAATTCATCCTTAAGAAATTAAAAAAATCCCATAAATTATAACCTGGCACGTATCATTTTCTTTTTCTAAAATTTTTATTAACATATAATGGTACTAAACCATGTATATTAAAAAATTGAGTTAAAATTTTCATTGAAATTTAGAACTAATGTTAAATAGCAGAAATACCAATAGACAATTATCTTTTGTAATCTAATTGTTTAATTGTTAATTGACGAAATAATAATTTCATCAGCTGACACAAATATTTTTCTTCCTACGATGTCGCTAATTTTGTTCAGAGTCTTGACTTAATAATCAATGTCGAATTTTAAAAAAGTCGTGACTTTAAAAGTTTTAAAGTTATCGATTTCTCTGGAACTATTCGACCAATTTCATTCATATTTTGCATTTCGCCATGAAAATTGCATTCTTTAAAATTAATTTTATTCCTTGCAATTCATAATTTTTCGAATATTATTAAATGAAGGGATAGAAGATAACAAATATTTACTAAAAGTTAGTTTTTGCTTAGAAATAATCTTTGGATAAGCGAATTTTATAATTGTGTGCAAAAACTTTTTCAATTCGCTTAAAAAGTTGATATGGTAATCTAAGCAAAGAGTAAATTTAACATTAAAGGATCCAAACTTTGGACAGCTCTTCTAACCATAGCATTGTGGGACCATATTACCCAGATGTAAGCTACCCCCTATATTTTGAGAATCAGAAATCCGAATCCGTCTAAAAAACTTTTTATTTCTTTGTAGAAAGTACTTTTTTGTGTCTGATTTTTTAACTTCAAATATCGTCTGCCCTAATTAATTGCCATATTTCTGGTCAAACCCATAAGACATTGAGACTGAGTCCAACAACGTGAAGATCCGATTATTAGGATTAAAAGTTATTTAGGGTGTTCCGTTTTTTATTTAGCGCACTACAGTTGTTGCAGTGTGGTAGACAACAGTAAATCAAAATCTTTGTTTCACATAGTTTAAAAAATAAAATTGCTTTATAAGTGGAGTGGGCATTTTAACCGAAATCATAAGCAAATCATAAAAATCATGAAAAATCATGAAAAAATAAAAAGAAATAATAAATAAATTCCCAAAAATCTTTCAAAATACCTAACAATAAAAAAAATGTCTCCAAAACCTAAAAAAAATTTTTGAAAATGCCTTATGAGGGATATTAAAGTATATTAAAGTTTCGCAGATTTAATTTTTAAACTAAACTATGAGCTTTCATTGCGATTGTTTTCACTCAATTTTATTTTCAAAATACTGTTGGTAAAAATACTATACAATTAAAGAATAATGTACGTTTATAAAGTTATACGAAAGAGAGGCATTCTACAAATAGACTTTTTCAAACTTTCCGATCAGCAAAACTGCGAAACATGCATAATATGCTAGGTGTTTCGCAAAAACTGCTCTTAGTATATATTTTAAAATTTTTGTAAAAGTTTGAAACATGTGCATTAGAGGTGGCAAACCAATATTAAAGCAGAAAAGTAAAAACCTGTTTGATTGTCGGATAAAACTTGCGGTTATGACAATCATCTTACATCTTCTCTCTATTTCCTCCGGCAATCAAAGAGGTTTCGATGTTTTCAGTTCCGCCTTCATCACTATTGATTCATTAGATTTCAACTGAGTTTATCTTTCAATTTTATTATTAATTTTCCACCCCTAATATGCATACATTTTTGACTTGATGTTTTAAAAGGATTCGAAAAATGACACGTACTTGCAGAATACCCTGTATTATACGTATTACATAACTGTTCTCCTTATATATTTTCTGCCTATATATATATATATTACAACGCTAGTTATCTAACATACTTCTGATTGTATTTCCAGCTGTAAATAAAAGTACTGGGGATGTAATTCTATCTGCCATGTCAGAATGGGAAAAGAAAACTTGCATACACTTTGTTCGACGAACAAATGAAAAACAACATCTTCGTTTTCGAACAGATAGTGCTGGGTAAGTTTTTTCTAAAAAAAAATATTACTATCCTGTTAATTCATTCCAGTGATTTCTGGCAGCAGATAAAAAATAGGATTTGTCTGGCAAAAATCTGGAAAAATGCAGAATTTATAATCTAAAAACCTAATTTAATTTTTAAAATCTTATTTATTCTAATCTTATTATACTTATTTATATCAAAATCTTACTTATATTTCAGAAATGCTTTTTACCACTCAAAAACATTATCTAATTTTAGTACGTTATCAATGATCAATATAAAATGATCAAGTTTTTCCCTTATAGTTTTGTTTAAGCTCTAGTTTCATTTTCAATAACTAGATGGCAGCATGAAATTTTCTGTGACAAAAAAGTATGAAGAATTTTTGGAATGTTAATAAAATATTCCAGAACGTGAATGGAAAGACTTGATTGCAAAAAATGGATTGTTCTACAATTCAGAAATTTTCCTAGAATCAAGAGAATTTTTTAAATATTATTGTTCATTTCAAATATATTCCTTTTTAATTTTGAGATTATTTGTGACCTACAGATAGGGAGATAGAAGTGGGGAAAAAAGACGAAAAAATATACTTTTGTGTATTTGGTATTTCAAAATTTAATATTTAAGTGTAAAATATTTTACATATATGCCATTTATTTCTAGGTGTTACACATTTGTGGGTAAAAAATACATGGATGGTCAAGATGTCAATTTGGGACCCGGTTGCGAACATGTAAGTAAATACTATTCTTTTCAGTTATCACGGATAAGATTAAGTCATTTAATGTAAATGTTAGTTCTTGAGAAAAAATAAAATTTAAAAAAAAAACAGATAATCATTTGTTTTTACATACATCAGTATAAAATGTAAGTTTTTAAAAGTTTTTCTTAAATACATTTAGCATTTTTCATTAAAATCTTTTGTAATATTTTTTTTTCGTTGCTTGGAAACATTTTCCAATGTTATAATTAGGCAAATTTAATAAAAGAAGTTTTTAGTGACATTTTTGGCGAATTTAGTAATATTAGTTTAATAATAAATGGGAGGAAAATGTTTAAGAGCATCTTGTCTCATTAAAAACTGTATTAATTAATGACAATCTTTTTTAAAAACTATTTTCAATCCATACAACAGATAGTAACAGGTTTTTGAACACTATAACATTTTCCTTCTTCTCCTACCCTATTTTACTTAGTGAAAATAAATTTGTAGAAATTCCCGAATCACAAAATTATTTTTTGTCAGTGACTTTCACCAAATTATATGACGCATATCAATAAATTCATAACAATAAACCAATAAATCAATAATAATAAATCAATAAATCAATAATAATAAATCCCTAAATCAATAATAATAAATCAATCATAAATCACTAAATCAAAAATAATAAATCAATAAATTATTCAATAATTACGTTACATTCTTTTTAAAAATTCTTTTCACTTTGCTTATATTAGCTTCAAATAGCGATGCATGAAATTGGACATTCCTTGGGATTCTACCACGAGCATTCTAGAAAAGATCGCAGCACAGTGCTAAGGATATTATGGCAAAACATCGAAAATGGAATGGCAAGTCAGTTTAGACCAGGAAATGATGCACCTAGAGGTGTACCGTACGATGTCACATCTATCATGCACTACAACCCAATGGTAACATTTTTACAAATACGAACAAATAGCATATTGTTTTTAATTGCTATATTTTTAATTGTCTTTAGCATCATATTAAGCTAAAAAAAACTATTATAAATATCTTATTTATTTAATGTCAATTGCTTACATACACTGAAAAAATTCAGGTAATAAAAAAAATAGATGTGTATTGTTAAGAGATATGTATCTTCAACAAAAAATAGAAGACAGAGTATTCTAGTAATAAACGCCAATCTTTCCAGTAACTGAAGAATTTATTTCATAATTTTTTTGTTCGTTTAAGTAATGCTTTATCAAGAAATCTGGTTTTTAAAATTATAGCTCTAATAACCCAAACATTTAATTAAAAAAAATAATATTGAAAAATAAATAGTAAATTTGGAAGAGAGTATGATATTTTTATAAGAATTTTTTTCTACATGTCGCAATTATTCATTGCTCGTCCTTTTATTTTAATGGACAATAATCTTATTTTAATGGTCAATATCATGTTGCTTTAAAAATTTGTTCAAAATTATACATATAGAATGAGTAAAACATAATAAGTAAAATATAATAAAAATTATTTTTGTCTAGTGAATAAACAAAAAGTGTATTTCCCTTTATTTCCTTTATTCTGGCAGTCTTTCAGCAAGAAGTTATTTGAAAAAAATACAATGGTGACTTTGGAGCCAAAACTTCAAACTCTCATTGGTAGAAATCGAGGTATCACCTTTAGGGACGCAAAACTGGCGAATATGATCTATTCTTGTGATGGTAAATATCAAACTTACAGTTAAAAAAGAGTTAATTTTCTCTTCTATATAAATAATTCTAAAAAGAATTTCCTTATTATTATTAATGGTTTATTCCTTTCTCTGAATTTTATTGATAATTTTTTTATATAATTATGTTCCTTGAATTGTGAATTACACCATTAGTTTGATAGGAACGGAAAACACTGAAAAGTGTAATTTGTGTGAAGATTAAATTTTGTGCTGGACTATAACAAAGTATTTGTAATTGTACTTTTCAATATGTATTTTACAGGTTAGTCTATCGTTATGAAGCAGCTTTATAAAGAGTGATTGGTCAAAATGTGGAGTTGATAATTTTCAGCAATTTACTTTATATATTGTGCTCAATAACAGTTTTCCTGTCGTTAAACTTCTGAAGTTTGTTTCTCTTATTTTATCAACAAATTTGTTGATTGTTTGATTGTATTTATTGACTTAATCCTTTCATATATTGAAAAATAAATAAATGACACTAGATTAATTTTCTCAATTGTAATAACATTTAAAACCATTTGATTCTTAGCATTAAAATTCGTTTAGTATTAATGATTGATTCTATAAACTAATGTGTTGATTGATTGATAATAGTAACTTGATTTTTAGAGAGCGAAAAATGAATTGATAACATTATGTTAGTTTAAACGTACAAAAACATTGTTTTTCCAGAAAATATCTTATTTTCATTTTATCGAGTGGCTTGGTAATAGCAATGTGCAGATAAGTAATGTGCAGATCACCTATAAAATTTGAGAAATAAAACAATTTTTTTCGACACTTTAGTGGAGTACCCTAATTTAGTGGAATACCATAGAACAAAAGAGTAATAATTTTCTTTTGTTTTCTGTTGCATGAGATTATTTTAACAGATCTTAGGTACTTTCGTGTGGCTGATTTTAAATCTGCAATCGGCATCTCCTTCCAAGCTACAGTTCTTTAAATGACACTTTTTATCCATTTTTTGTCGAAATGTTCAAAATAAAAAACGTTATATGCAACAGGGGGTGACATAAATGTTGCAACAAACTCTTAGGGGAGTTGGAGCACTTCATCGGGACTTAAATTGCATAGGAACCGATTCCAGGAAATGTCGTCATACACCGCTAGGGGTGCTTGTCGCATCATGAATTTTTTCTTAGTGTACATCTGATCACGTCATAATAAAGAAGCGCATGCATCCGCGTACGATGTCATTTCCAAACATGGTTTTCTATACAATTTTAATCCTGATGATAGGCCCTAACTCTCCTAAAAGAGTGTCGTAACATTTGAATAACTCTGTTATATATAACGCTTTTAAAATTGTACGTTATGACAAAATATAGACTAAAAATGTCATTTTAAAAAAATCTGTAGCCTTAGGTGCAAAACAAATTTCAAATTTAAGAATTCCAACACTCGAATTAGGAAAGATCAAGTATTTGTATTGATGCAATCAGTAGAACAACTACTTTATTAACTTTGCTTATCAAAGAAAAATAAAATGTTTCATATTGCTTAACAGATGGTTGCCCAAATAAGAGAACACTGGTGTGTGAAAATGAAGGTTATTTGTCACCTTACCAAGAAGATTTGAAACCATGTCATTGTGTATGTCCTCCCAATACCAAAGGATCCAGATGTGAGACTTTAGTCGGTGACTATTACGGTAAATTTCTTAATTCATTTTATTATAAGTAACTAAAAACACTTGGTCCATCTGACTTCTTTTAATATTGAAGATTTCAAATCTATGTCTCCAGCAATGTCTTATGACAGTATGGATGAATTTTGGAGCTTGAAGTTCATGTCTCATGGGAAATTTTAAGTAACGTAATACGTTAAATGTTAAAATGTGAATGAATTGTCACTAGTGAATTATGAGCTGCGCTTTATTGAGCAAAATGAAATTTAATCCTGATAATGGCTTATTATATTGTTTAATCTTTACTTTCTACTCGGAGAAACAAATCTAGTAAAACTATCGTACTGTATGGTGATGACATGTCTATTTATTAAAAAAGAGAACAACGACAACAACAAAAAAGAAAACAATTATTTACAACATAATTTTAATTAAAATACTACATAATTTTGGTTATGGAAACTAAAATATAACTAAACTCAGCTGCGCGACAGCCCACAGAGGGCCAAGGCCTACTGCGCCCATCTCAGTTTTCTTGACGTTTGGGCTCTGGGTTGCAACAGCAGATGCTCCGGTTAGGTGGTCAGCAGAACACGAAACCCCCAGTGTTTAGTTTCCACGCATGCTTGGTACTCATTTATCGACCCACCGAAGGCCAGAGGATCGAACCAGGGATCTGTGGCACGACAGCGCGAAACGCTACCGCTCAGCCACCGGGCGTCGGAAAGTATTAAAAAGCCGGGAAAGTATAGAAAGCCTAAGCAGGACATCTCAATGTGTGAGAACTAAATGCTCAATGCATAAGCACGAAATATCAATGTGCGAGAGCTCAGTGCTCAATGCATGCACGTAAGATCTCAATGTGTAAGAACTAAATGCTCATTGCATAAGCATGAGTTCTCAATGTGAAAGAGCTCGGTGTTTACTCTCACAACAACTGATTCTTCATTATAACGCCTGACACAATGTTTATGATATACGTATATTTCAGAAATGTTGTTCGCATTTTAATAATGAGTGTCAAAATCTGAACATTTAACACATTATACAACGTTTCAGAAACTTTATTTTCAATGTTTAGTACTTAAAGAAATGTTATCTAATTTTTTTTAATTTAGTGATAAAGGCTCTACGTTGGTATTAAACATATAACCATAGCCATGAAAGCTTAATCTTTACAATAATATTTTGAACATTTTATAAACTTTTTACAGGATCTATTTCTTGTGGTGGGGATATTTCTCAAGAAAAGATAATAGAAACACCTGGTTATCCTCAAAGAATTCCGAACGACAGTTGCGCTTGGCAGATTAAGGTAAACAGGTTAATTTAAATTTTAATAAATTGTCCCTCACACATAAAAATTTATCGTTTCCTAAGACGTGAATACAATTGAAATTTCTACTAATCTGTAAATCACTATAACGAGAAAATTTATTGTGTTTAGATTTTAGTATAAGAAATAATATGAATATTATAAAGACGATATTATTAAATCAAGGATACTAATAAAGATATGATTATTACATATTTCTAACAATTTCTTCGAGTAGTTTTAAGCAAAATTTTACAACTTAGTACGTAAAGTTTTAAATCTTAATTGTTAACTAGACAATTATAATAATTTAGAAAATAAAGAATGAAGCACACATCCAAAAATAAAAAGACAGAAAGTCATTCTAAATCACCAACTTCTTTCTTGCATCAAATACAAGTGTTTTCAGTTTTATATTATCGCCATCAAAATAAACATGAATATTCTACACTGTAAAAAATTTCGGATCAAACTACGGTGTTAAGTACCGGAACTCATCAACTTGGGTGCATCATCCGTAAAATCCATTTTCCGTAAAATTCTATTACAGTTAAAAAAAGTTATCCGTAAGAACAGTTATCCGTAAAATCTATTTTTACTAAAAAATAATATACCTCAATTTTTACAGTAATATTTATTTAATAGAAGAAATTCAGTGATTTTATAGTAATTATTACCATAAAAATTACGATATATCATATTTTTCGTTCCAAACATGTTCTGGTAAAAGTGGATTTTACGGGAAAAAGTACCAGCACCCTAATTTCTAGCATTTTTTACCATAATTTGATCCGGAATATTTTACACTGCATGTCCCGCAGCATCAATGGTGCTTGTCATATTTGTTTAATTTAAATTTTTCCAAATAATAAGCAATATCTGCAAAAATACAGAGTATAAATAAGGGGCCGTTCAAAAAGTACGTACATCCCGAAGGGGGGGGGAGGGGATTTGCTATTATGTACGGTTTTGTACGATGGGGAGGGGGGGAGGTATTATACAAAGTACGTACTTTATAAACATACACCAAATTTAAATTTGACTTTATCCTACACACTCCTTAAGTAAATATTTAATTTTATTTAAAACATAATTATTTTAATTTTTATGAAAAAGGGGGGTAGACTAATAAAATGTACGTACTCAAAGGGGGGGGAGTAAGACCTTATGTACGGTAATGTACGAAGGGGGGGAGGGGTTTAAAATTTCTCCATTTTTGTGTACGTACTTTTTGAACGGCCCCTAATGTGTTTTATAATATACAAATAATACCTCATAAAGTATATCGCCATATTTTTCATGCAGTTATATTTATGTTAATAGTGAATAAAATATTTATCTTTTTCTCCAAGACAATACTTTTACTTTATAATTTAAAACTAAATTTCTTGTCTGTTTTATTTTTATTTCTAAGAAAATACTGTAAATTATTAATATAATTTTTCAGGCACCTCAAGGCAACAAAGTTGAAGTTACTTTTGAAGATTTTAGCTTTCGTTCAAGAATGGATAAACCGGGCAATAAATACAACGGTTATTGTGTTTTTGAACATGTGGAAATTCGAACATCAAATATGGAAGAAGGAGAATTGTAAGAAAAAAAATCACCATGGAAATTTATATGATAGTTATAAGACTAAAAAATATTTTTATGTTAAGCTCATTTACAGCGTTAATCTCAGCGTAATATAAATTTAAAAATAACCAGTCGTAATATGAGTCCAAACATAACATTCATTTATAATATTTTTTCAAATTTATAATTATAACATTTTTAATAATTATACTTATTGCTTTTCATAGTGCTGTTTTCTGATTTTTGTTTTACAAGTTTAAATAGTATGATTCGCTTTACAAGAAAATAATATGATTACAACTACTAAAATATAATAAAATTTGACGTGTTCGGGCTTATGTCCATGTAGAAAGAAACTATTATTTATGTAAATTTTAATAATAATAATGCTATAATTATTAATTAATTAAATTTTAATAATAATAATATTATAATTAAAAACAGTTTTAAAATTTTCAAGCGAATAGAAATATTGATTTTATGTTATAAACTGAATTACACAAACCTTCATTAACTCACATGAAAAATCATTCTGATGCAAATGTAAGCATAAAATTTGTAATTTTACATAAGGTACATTAAAAAAAAATAGTTACATACTTTAAATACACTTACAAACCAATTTAAATAATACCATTACTATCAGTGCTATTTGTACCAACATATTTTTACATTTTAGTAAAAATGCTTAAACTACAAATATATATATATCAACAAGTTGTAAGATATATGGTAAAAATAATCTGATAAAATTTCTGCACTGTAGGGTAATGATATTTCTTTTAAAAAATACTGGTTCTAAAAACCAAAATATACGGTATTTAAACCACATGTTTGGTAATTTTTCCATTCATATGGTAATAGTTTACCGAAAACTTTGACTTTCAAAATTGTAGTTCTTATTACAACACATTTAGTAAAAAGTACAAAACTAATATAATAAATTTTATCGAATAAATGGTTTTTATGCCATGCTCTAAGGTATCATGATTTACCAAAGCTGAGTTATCATGATTTACCACGAGCTACCAAATTTTACCACATTTGCCAAATTTTTATATAAAATTCTATTTTATCATTAATTTTACCAAGAAAATCTAAAAATCGCTTCGGTATAAATTATAAAACTATTTTGTGTTCCAATAAAGCCCGAAACACGTTAAATTTTATTATATTCTGGTAGTTTTAATCATATTATTTTCTCAGTGTATATGCATTTTTTTAAAAAAAATTTTTAAAATAAAATAAATGTAGTTGCAGAAATATGTTGTTTAAAAAATTGAAAATATTAAACATATCAAAAACGACGAAACTTATTTCAAAAATCACTTAATCTAAAATGTTCCAAAAAATAAAATTCAACATATTATTGAGAGTCAATTTTAATCAGACTTAGTTATGTTTCTCTTAAAATAATAATCTTTGTTTTACTTTCAGTTTCTGTGGGGAGGATATTCCAAAAATGTCAAAAATGATTTCAACATCGAATACGTTTCTCATTCTCATTAAAGCTGACAGCAAAGGACAAGGTCGAGGACTAAAAGCTTCTGTAAAATTTGTGTGAAGGCACTATATTTCTTAGATGTGTCTGCACCTGTATTTAAATGATTTTTACAAAGCCATGCAATAAAATTTTTATTTTGTGTAACCGTATTTTTTCATTTAAATTTTTTCTCAGCGATTGGAAAAAAAACAATGTCAATATATATAAATGTTAATACAGAGAATATTCAACTCGCTTTACTAATCCCGATAAAGTTTAATACAGTAATAGTCTTTAGAATAGAATATTTTTGTGAACGGAATTCTGTCTATTTCATTGTGATTAGGAAAATATGCGTTTTTAAAAATCACGTTGTCACGGAATTACCGCCAAGATAGAGAAAAATTATATACCTGTCAGTGTGAGTATGCAGTGTTCCAAAGCAAGTTTATATTAATAATTGTTTAATATATGTGCATTCAACAAATTGGTTTCCATGTGATTGAAATAAGAATTGGTAACGTTTTTCCAAAAGTTTTAAGGCATTAAGATAAAGAGACTGGATTTCTTTACGCATCATTATGTTTAGAAAGAAAGTATTTATATTCAAATCCATTGATGTGTGTATATTTAAACATGTGTATAATACACACACATGTGTATATTTAAACATGTTCAAATATATTCAAGCATATTCATATTAGAGATGGCACCGGCGACGCATGCTAGGGCTTGTTTACTGAACAAAACGATATTGGGCTTGGACAAGCTCGTATTCATAATAAAATTCTCATCCTTTAAACCAGGCTTTCCTAAAGTGTGGCACGCGTACCCCCTGGGGTACGGGAACTGTTTAGCGGGGGTACGCTTTCTTATGCGAAATTTCTTGCAACAAACGAAAATTTCAAAAAGTTTTTTTTAAAAGCAAAACTAGCCATGAAAATTTACAATAGCGTATTTTTCTATTGATTATTTTTTTGCAAAGTTAACAGTTAATAATTCGTGGTGTCAACCGCCAGTTGTGATTTTTAACTTTTGTGCAATTTTCTATAGTAAAGGTTTGTAATAAATTCTACTTATTTTGATTATTTTCATAAAATATAATTTTTATCCCTAACTTAGAATATGAATTGCTGGTTAATATTTACAAAACTTTGCACTAAAAAGGAAAAACAAACACGTTTTTAAAAAAATACATAAATTTTTTTAATTCGTGGTGCACAGCGTAACGAAAAATTTAGAAAAGGTACACAAAAGTCATAAGTTCGGGAAACACTGCTTTAAACAAACGTTTATTTCCATTATTAAGCATTGAAAATGCAAAATTTATAAGGTATAAAAAGTTTAGTGATCAGCTTCTTTTGTTCGGTGCTTTTGTTTTGTGACGCACTAATTGTCAAATGACTTTTATTTAGCTGAATATTTAATTTTTTTTTTTCTGAATTTTTGTTATCTTGGAGTTTTATGTATCTGAGTTTTCCTCTTCACTGTTGCTTTCACAGGTTGGTGACAGGTGGTAAGCAGGTAAACAGGTGGGAAGTTTTTAATTTACTAATTTCTTTGTTTTGACATCAAAGCCCAAGTGACAAGATCTCAAAATTTCACCTTTTTCGAAAGTACATCTCGGGCTCACGTGGACTCGAGCTCTAAGTAATCCTATGTGTCTCGGACTCAGGAGTACTCAGATTAAAATTCTTCTGCCCAAGACGCCCAAAGGTGAGCCCGAGTTCATCTCTAATTCTCACACACTTACGCATTAACAAATACATTATAGTTTAGTAACACTTGGGGTAACTTTTTCTTACCCTTCCGGTTCAATATTGAATCACAATATTCTTACCATTTACGCAATTATCGAGCAAACTTGCATAAACCTTGAAAACGTGATAAGCTGAAGGATATTACGTTCAAGTTGAGCAATATTGTGGTGCAATCAAGTAAATTTGAACGACAGTAAGGTTAAACTTCGCAACATGCGAAGATTGCAGAAATTCGGGCTATAATATGGATTAGAGCTTTAAATCTTTCCTAACTTAACTCTTTACAGAGAAGTAAATGTCATCTAAACGGTTAGAAGAAAAACAAATGAATTTCAGATTAGAGTATAACAAGTAAAGTACGTAAAAATAAAGAGTAAGTGAAATGTTCCCCAAATATAAAGAGTATTATGAGTAAACTAAGGAACCCCGAATATAAACCAAAGACAAAATTTTTGATTGGACCATCAAGATATTTTAATGTTAGTTTCTTTATGGCCCATCACTATTTCATTGTAACCATCATCCAACAATCATATGGCAATGAGTTTTGAAGGGCTAGCAAACTTTCCATCATTTCATGTTGGAAGATGATGGTCAATCAACATGTCATGTTAGAAATTCTTTGATACTTAAAAGGATTTTATCTTGATGCTTAAAAGGATGGCATAAAAACCATACATTCGGTTAAATTTGCATTACAGTTTCATAATTTTTTACAAAATGTATGGTAGTAAGAGCTGTAATTTTGAAAACCGGAATATCATATATACGAAAAAATTACCGATTTAAATACTGTACATTTTTATTTCATTCACCAGAATTACAATTTTTTTTAACCAGAAGCGTCATTACCAAAAAGTTCGCTAATTTTACTGGAATTTTTCCTCCGTGTACACTCTCAATAAACTCAGTTAAACCTTGAAATATAATGTGGTACAGATATTCTATAATTTTCATTGGATATTAAATTGAATCAAGTTTCCATTAAGTTCTACCTTCTCATTCATAATAATATAATTTCCATGAACTAATCTTTGAAAGTAACTTGTAAAAAATTCACTAAACCTTTACGATCATAGTATTACACTATTCAAACTTACCAAATTACCTACTATACCAGGGATGGCGAACCAATGGCACGCGTGCCATTTATGGCACGATACANATATATATACATATTTTTCTTTCTTTATTTTTTTTTTACCAGAAACGTCATTACCATAAAGTGCGCTAATTTTACTGGAATTTTTCCTCCGTGTACACTCCCAATAAACTCAGTTAAACCTTGAACCATGATGTCAGTACGTTCAGCCATAATGTGGTACGGATATTCCATCATTTTTATTGGATATTAAATTGATCCAAAAAAATTAACTAAACATTGACTATCATAGTATTGCACTATTCAAACTTACTAAATTACTTACTATACCATAAAATAGTGTTACTATATCATAAGTTAATTACTTAGCACTATATTAATTTTGCAGTAATGGTAAGACATGGTGCAAAATTTAAATTACATTATGAAATAATATGAAATTAATATTAATTTTCGAACTAAAAGGTTCTTTTTCTGATTAAAAAGACTTAATAATTAAGTGAACGTGATAAATTCCCTTGTGTCTTTTTCTACTCATCTTCATATAAACTGGTATAGCAAGTCAAGAAGTTTTTTGGATGGGGTTCCTAGGGCGAAAAAAGAAGTTCGTGGACGCCAGATACGATTCAGATTTTTGAGTTGAGGTGAAAGGGAGAGGATATTGAGTACGACGTATTTCTTAACAGGGGTTTATTGTGAAATGGTTTTGTTTAGTTATTTTTTTCTCTCTATTTAAACAGATAAGATTCTGAATCGCTAATTGGGGTAAAGGTAATGGGTCAGACCTTCACGGTCGAGCCTTCTCCGGACAAAACTTCGCCAGAGCAAAGATTCGCGTGAACATAACTTCGACAGGACAAAACAAGTATACAAATTCTGAAATTAATGATTAGCATTAAATTATATTTAATTTATACATTAACTTCTATAGAAAATTTTTTTTATCTGTTATATAATTTAAAAAAATTCAAATTCATAATTACATTAGAATAATCCCGATAAGTAACTAAAATTAAACTTTATTCATCATTTATTATTGAATTTGAACAATAATCATGATACGTCTGTCTTTAAAGTGTGGATATTTCATCCTGTTTTTTTTTTCTTGTCCACTCTTGCATTTTTTTTATTCGCCTTTTGCTAGCAAATTTGGCTCTTATATAAATATTAAATGAAATATTATCTGTAATCAAATGCCAAATTATAAGTTGCTTAGTTTTATTCTACATATTGCAAATAGTTTTTCAATTAACTAGTTTTGATAGCTGATATTAATTTTTTCTATTTAAGATCAAATAATAAATTTCACAGTCAAATACTAATCGACTCATTAAATATAATAAATTAAAATCAAATACAATAATAATTAATTAACTGAATTTAAATGAACTTTAAAAGGAATCTTTATTTCTTATGCGATGTTAATTTTTCTGCATTCCATGACTTATTAGTTTAATTATTTTACTCGTGTTTAATTTGCAAAAAGAAAAATGTCACAGTCAAATAATAATGAACTTTCTGAGAATTTGCCATGAAAAGATTCTCCCCATGTAATCTTCTCAAAAGTATTCAGAATGAATGTGAATTTACTAGTAAGTACTGTTGCTTTGGAATGCAGCAATAGAAAAGGTAGATAAGAAACCATTCATTTGAGAGTTAGTAAGGGTGTGGTTATTCAAGGAAGTGAACAATTCTTATTGGACATTGATGAATGGGCAACATATGCACCTATGAATGAACTGCTCTGCAATGTACGGGGGTTAGTCTTATGAGTACAAGGCTCTCCTCAAGAAAAGAAATATAGTTTAGTGTATTCAGAGGAACGTGGTTATAACTGTAAGGATGGGAAGTTATGCTATTGGAAATGATGATGGTAAGTACATATATAGTTGAATTATTATAAAAAAATTCTTAATGTGAAGATTTATTTTCGGTATTTACTGAATTGTAATGCGAATTAGATAAGCATTTCCTTATTAATTTTGGAAAAGAAGAGCATTTTTCGTATTTTATTTACTTTTTTCCCTCTAAAAATCGAAAATGATGTTTCTCTTAATGAGGTGACCAAGTTCGAGTCCCAGCTGCTGCTGGTTGATACGAATCCTGCTGCTTGATCACACCAACCACAGTGCTGATATAAAATATCCTGCGTGGCAGACGGACCCTTTCTTATCGTGCTATCCAGGAGAGGTTTTTGTGGTTTTCCTCTCCATGTAACGCACATGTGGATTAGTTGCAAAGTTAGACGGCTATGGAGATCAGCAGTGATAGTCGTAGACTTAGAATATACACGTGGTTTATGAATGGGTTATAAATCTGAATCAATCCCTTCATCCCTATTTTCATATTCTAGCTAATGAGACCAGCTTAAGAAAAAAAGTAAGGAACGGAAGTTAAAATTTTTTATTAAAATGCAGGTATAATGCAGATTATATAATTATTTAACAACAGCTTTTGGTAAAATAAGTCATTATTTCATCACAATCGGGAATGCCAATTCATTTTTTAATAGTTTATGAATACATTGCGAATACATAGTTTATGACTATTTAAGAAATACAATTAGATTAATTGCTTTGTAAGTAAATATATTATAATATTTCAATTTTTTAATAAGAAGTAAAATGCAAAATACTTAATTGCCTTCAATTATTAAATATGAACTTGAAGTCAAAAGTGATATTTCAAAATATTACATAATTAAGATATATAAGTCCAATTTCATAAGAATAATGCAGATAGTTTATAATTCTTGATTTGTTGATTTAATAACATTTGCGTCATCAAAGTTGGAATACATCAGCGATTGCGACGAGTTTAGGAAAATAAAAAAAAATTAAAAAAATCTAGTTTTAGGCACTTTTTCAAAAAACTTCAAAACTTCTTTGAAAAAGTTGCACAAATTGCTCCCGCTTATCATTTATTTTTATTAATTGTTATTTTTAAAAACATTTTTTTCTTCTTGCAAAACATGGTTTTATGCAAATTATAAAAATGTATTTCTTAAAAGCTACGATTATTGCATATTTTACAGTCTTTCTATTTTTTTTTTTTTTTCTGTTTAGAAAACTAAATGCCTACAATTTTTTCAATCCTGAAACACCCGCGTATAGTTTTTTTAATAAAACATTGTTATCTTTTGTTAAACTTCCGATGCAGTTATTTTATACTTCCAGTACTTGAAAAGAGAATTTAACATTTATATTTAATATTTATTTCAAATAAAATAGCTTATGCAGGTGTGTAAGTATTGAAATAGGTTTTTTCTCAAAACTTTTTAATCCTTTTACATATGGTTATGTTGGAAGAGCATAAAAGCAATACGTTATGCTATTTTTATATTTTTCATGTTATTCACGTTGCTCGTGTTATGCATTTATATCTTGTCTGTTCCTGTTACCAATCAAAATAAAGATGCATTTAGTTTCTTTTATGACATAAAATATTTTTAAATCAAATGCCCCGTGAATCCTAATAGCCGGATGATTAATAGCCGGAATGAATTATAATTAGTGATATAGATTTATAATTAAACTAATTAGTTTAAAATACAAATACGTATACTTTGTCAGTGAAGTATGCCAGGTATTTATTAGAAATAAATTTCTTAAAATATCAGTACACTAGTACCTAATGTAATAAGAAAATGTGGTATAACTACCACTAATAATATTAAATACCAATTCAGTAGTATATGAGACTTGTTAATTTGTTTTATGTAGAGGTACCCGTTGAGAAAAGAAAGATGCCATAGTCCAGGGATGGCGAACCAATGGCACGAGTGCCATTTATGGCACGCGACACAATATTTTGGGCACGCTACCGATCATGAAGTTCCGATATGAAGCATAATAACAATTAAATTAAAATTCACAAAAGACTGAACAATTAAGGCAAAACTATTTGTCGGCACGTCTATGACAACATAAATTTTTTTTTTAGAAAATATGGCACGTTGGTGCATAAAGGTTCGCCACCCCTGCCATAGTCGATAATAAACTCCCCACACTGATGACCTTCAGACGCGTCATAAACTCGGCGACAACGATAGATTGTCCCGATTAAGCAGTTGACCTGCACACAAAACAGCTGTCAAAAATTCGGTGTAGTAAGTGAGTTTCTCCCAGCTAACTAATGAAAATGAAAAAAATAATAATAATAATTTGCGAAATGATATAAATTAAAAAATTGATTAATAAATAAAACAGCATTAATCGATTAGTGGTATTCATTCATCCATTTCTATCACAGATAAAAATTCTGGAAGGGGAGTAATGTGACGTAACTACCACTAATAATATTAAATATCAATTCAGTAGTATGTAAGACTTGTTAACTTGATTCCATATTAAGGTACTGTTTGATAGACGAAGGTTAATATAGTTGATTCAAACATACCCCACTAAACTTTAACATTACATTAATTTCAGCATCTTGAAATCGATGTTGTTATATGTACTTAAAATTCAGCTACTTTTAAAACCCCTTAATAGTTTTCTATATTATCAATTCACAAGAAAGGTATATGTTACCTTTTTATATAATTTCATCAAATGAGTAAATTTCAAATAGTTAAACTAATGTCATAAAAAATTTCTTCAGAAATTTTATTAGGAATAACTTTCCTAGACAAACTTGACTTATTTCAGGGTTCAAGATAAGCAAGTGATGAGGTTACAAAGATTTTAGTTGCTTTTAATACATGAGATAAATACGATTCTTGTTAACTTACTTGAGAACCTGATAAATAACCCTCGTAAAACCACCTTTGACACCTAGATAGGTGTTCAACATACTAGAGTGATTAATTTGATATATTTTACTGTACTGTACTATGTATGATAAAAAGTAAAAACAAAGCAGCTTGGAACACAGTGTTTGTACAAACACATTTTTTTTTTAGACGTTTGGACATATTTTTCTTTCAAAATCTCCTAGAGAAAAAGCAAAATCATGTTTAAAAAAATGTACATATATGCTTCGTATTTAAAGTCAAGTACAAAGTGTTTTAGGCAAAAATAAAGATATTAATTTTGTTTCATTTATATTCTAATCATGTTGCGAGAATCATGTTTATATTCTTATCATAACCTTTTATGCAGCACCTTCTGTGATGAAATACATCACTGAATGTTGTATTATTTGTATTCTATTTGTATTCCATTCGTCATCAATATTGTCGTATATTAGCAATAGCTTACTAGCAAGTGACGTAATGTGGGTATCTCGATCCTTATTGGGTGCTTAAACGTGGCATTTCTGATAGCAACTGTTCTTTCTATTTTATTTCGAGTAAGCCAAGCCTGTCAATTATCAACTCTTTTAAGTGACGCATTTTAAATTTTTTGCACTACATATTTACACAGGGACTTAACAAAAAGACAGGCACGAAGCATAAACAAAGTAATTATGCAAGGAAGTTTGCCAGGTACTCAAAACAAAAATATATAGAATAAAATACATAAACAAACAATAAGTTAAGTAAAAAAATAGACGAGAAAGAATTATATTTCAACTAATTTGATGAGCGATACAACTCTGTATTTAATTAATTTAACGATAATTAACATTCTAGCTTATGTCTAGAGCTCATCTTTAATGCGCAGTTTTGTTAAGAAAGCTTAGCTGACGTCATAGCTCACATGTGTGGGTAGACTTTAGGAAGTCTTCTTCTTCCTAAAATGCAAGAACCCAATTGTAACACTGATAAACATTTGTAATTATTTATACAGACAGAAGTTTAAAAATTACACCAAACCAAGGAATATTGTACCAAATTAAAATAATTAGATTTTATATAGTATAAAATAGAAGTATTATTAGAATTTGCGATACAAGGCTTCTGACTATTGTAAAGATATATTTAATAATCACCATGTTCCTGTCGGTTATGATAATAATCATGAATATGCTGAAAAGGAATGATCATTTGCAGCATTTATTTTATTTTTAACACCATTTCTAAATTATGCTCATGAAGAAGTATGTATGATTGTATTTTGATCAAGTACTCATTGGTAAAACTTAAACTAAATGTATTTTTTTTATTAATTTAAAAGGCTCCGTGGTTGTTTCTCTTTCATCATTGTTTTGTTTTTGTTTTTTGCCTTAAAAGTCGATAAAAAAGATAATTTTGTTTATAAACTATACAATTGTTATAATTTTATGCAAACTCAATTTATTACTATGTTAATTACAACGAAATGAATGGATACCTAGATTTAAAAAATAATCAACTGCACTTGAGAAAAAAATTATACACTAAGAATACAGAATGAGTTGCATGATAAGAAGTAATAAATAAGAAGTAATTATGCTTGATAAAAATATATAACATGTTCACATAATAATATGTAACAATTACTTTAAATCACATAACAAATCAAATAGGAAACTGTTTTTTTTTTCTTCTCTTGAGCCTTTTATATAGCCTAAAAAGTTCAATACAAATGCTAAAATTTATGCCTGGCAACATCTAATCAACTAAACTTTTATTATTTATTTTCTTATTAGAGTTTACATCAAGAAAAGAAAGCTTATAAAATTTAGATCTCAAGGGGAAACTTTTTTTTCTAAAACAATAGTCATTACTTTAAGCAAGGAAAAATTAAAAAAAAAAGCTAAAAACAGCATTTAAAATTGGAAATACTTTCGAACAAATAGAAATTCAGAAAAAAAAAATTGCCTTAAATTCGTACAGGAAAATGGATTTTTCTGCAAATGCATTTCTGCAAAATTGCAGAGAGTCCCACGTGGTATTTTCTACTACAATTTTAACAGTTGAAATTCTTGAACTATTTAACGAATGTTAAATCTTTATTTATTCTCTTGTGCATTTTTCTTTAAATTTTGTAAATTCAAGTTTCGAAGTGC